AAGGAAGCGGGGGGGAAGGGGCGGGCATCGCCTTGCAGCAGAGGTGCCCTTTGTAGTACGTAACCTGTAACACTTTAATGCAAAGTAGTACTTGTAATCTTCAGCGGTCAGTAAAAATGCTGTGTTAATTCGGTATGGTAGCTGCTTCTGATGAGGCTCTTTATTTGTGTATTAGGAAGATGTTCAATGTACCAAATAGCTCTGCATTTCACGTTATTGCCACCTTCTTGTTTGAAAAGCTGGATCCGGCTCGCGCAGCACTAACTTTCAGGTAAATGTTTGGCTTATGAGGCTACTGCTGTGCTGTATGAGGTTACTGTGTACTGCTGGGAGGGGGGTGACTCTAGGAGAAGGTCGTGGAAGAAGAACATGCAGTCATAATTTTTTCCCTTTTGATCACAACTCTGCAATGTATCAGAAACCTTGCCTTAACTAAAGTTGTTTCTGATAGTGTCTGTAACTCGGTGAGTTATAGATACCACCTGTTGGTAAGAACTTTCATAGCCGCAAAGTAATCTACCTTTCCCATTCGTTTCCCTGACCAAGGAGCGAGTAACACTTCCAAGTTGTGGATTGCTGCCAAGATCTTTAATGAGGCAAGAATCCCATCTTCCTTAATGCTTTTCCTTATATAGATGTGTCATTTTAGCTTGCATATCAAAAAAAGTGTCTGGAGAAAGACCAGCAATATGAAAATTGTCAGTGTTCTGACCCTTCCTTTCTCTTGAGTTAAAAAGAGCTGCGGGCAAATTTGTCTCTGAAATAGACTGTAATTATCTTATTATGTCAAGAAAACACTGTCATTTAACAAATAAATAAATATTTAAATAAAAGTATTTAGCTAGTCTTGTTGTAGGCTATGTCCCCTTGTTTTCTGACTCCTCCAGGAGGCATCAGTAAGAAATCTTTGTCTTAGACTTATTCTTAAAATGGTTAATTGGGCAACTTAATATTTGTACATGTTTTTAAATTGATTTCTTTTTTCTTTTTCCTCATTGTTTTCCGATGGAAAGAAACTGTCCCTTTGCAGGTCCGTGTTTTGTGAAGCAGTGTTTTCTATGGCTAAAAGACATTGAAGTGAGTATTATGAAGAGTGGAAACTGATGCTCTCCTGCTTTCTGTGACTTCATTCCTTTTTTTAAAGAATATGTGGTGCTTTTAAATAAGAGTTTTAAATAAGGTTGTTCTACAAAAGAAGTCAGTTTTATTTCAGAGTCTTATTTCACATAGTTTCATCCTAGACTTTTTTGAGGGAAAAGCAATGTGACATGGTGGAATTTAGATGACAGAGACTTAATCTGAGGTCTTAAAACTGCTGTGACTTGCTTCTGGATAATGGTATGAGAGTAAACAGAAGTCCAGAGGGTTCCTCAGCTCTGGGTGAGAATAATTTTCTTCACCTTGAGAGGTGCTTGCCTAAGTTGCCTCAGCGGGTGTTTATTGTGAGAGTGGTTTCAGATGCATGAAAAATTTTTTAACCCTAAGTCTTTATTTTGTGGGGAAAGGGGCTAAACTTTAAGTTGAGCTTTCTAATGGAAAAGACACAAGACAAAATTGATGGTTTCAGGTATCATTAGTTATTATGTTACCTTCTTGTGCTGCCTTTGTTTTAATGATAGTTCTAGAAATTGGGTCTTTGTATACTGGAATGGTTTTATTTTTGAGTAATAATGGAAAAGATGAAAGCTAGCAATGTAATGTCTTTGAGTAAGATAAAAGCAGAGCAAAGAACACTCATTGATGACTTCAGGAGAAAATACGAAAGAAAACGAGAGTATTTTTTTAAAAGTAGGGATTACCAGTTGCAGGTGAGAAGGGCAGAGATTTCTAACATTTACCCAACACTGACTTCAGTCTGTGTGTTGAAACTGTCTTTCATGTATAGAACTTGGGATGATGGGTGGAACGTTCAGAAAGTTTTAGTCTCTTCTGCTGATGAGAGTAGGTGTCAGCTATAGTGGCAAAGTAGTTAAGTTTGCATCAGCTTTGCTAACAAGTAGGCTGTGGTGTTTTGCTAAATGGCTGTTGTTTAGGCTTAATTTCTTAGATCCATTTTATGTTTGAAAACCAATTTAACTTTTCTAGAAGAAACACCAAGGCTGTCTTCAACAAGTTACAGCGTCTTCATTAATTTCTCCTGGTGGTCCTAAATTTATTAATATGTTCTATTCATTTGCAAGACACGTACTGGTTGAGGACATGAAAAAGAATTCTGTAGGTAAGCTGTAATGAAACAATGGAAATGCTTAATTTGTAATGTTTGACAGTGAATCCATCAAGTCTTCAGTATATGCCAAGAGTTTTAAAGTAGTTCTGAGTTGGCTGTTCAGTTCAAAATGTTTCATGGGATTCCATGTACTTGCTGTCAGCTACTGCTGATAGAACGGTGTTCAAGGCCAGGTTGGACAGAGCCTTGGGCATCATAGTTTAGTACAAGGTGTCCCTGCTTATGGCAGTGGGGGTTGGAACTAGATGATCTTAAGGTCCTTTCCAACCCGAACCGTTCTATGATTCTATAACAATGCAGATTGTTTTGCTTTCTGTCGCTTTATGGGTCTTGCTCCAGAGTTCACCTATGTAATGCTGTTCACCAATATCAACTCAAGCAATGGTCTAGTCCAGAAGTATTGGACTGTTATACTATACTCTTTCTCACAACCTGAGTAATTCTAAAGGATCAGAACTGTCTATTCTTGGGAATCTTTTGTTGGTTTATGACCTAAGAATAGGAAAAAGGAGTGACAGTGAGGGAATGAGAATGTATACAACAGAAAGAACTGGCAAAAAGGCAATAAATGGCATACTCTGTTTCAGTTTAGGTAAAATAAGCATTTTGATTTGTGATTTTCATTTCAAACTAGATAGATTAGCAAGTTGTCTGTTTGCTAAGAGTAAATGATGTAATCCATCCTAACTTTCTTTTAGGCACTGATATGCTTATTGCCAAAGCTGTAAAGTTGACACGTAGGAATATGTACATGGCAAAGGCAAGATGCAGAGTTGCATACAATAAACTTCTGCAAATTTTTATAAAGGAACACTTTGTTACTCAAGAGTATTGGAAAAAAGCATGGTAAGTGATATATTTAAAAAAGGAATGTTTTCATAAAGTTTGCCTTTTGTGTGTGTGTTTAAAAGTATTTGAGGAGGCTGCAGCTGCTTTACATCATGAGTTCTGTTGAGCTTCTCCCAATTTTCTTCCCCTTTACCTTCTCTAATTGACAGTTCTACTGTTTGTAGGGTCTTCTGTGAAGTGTAATAGTCTAAACAAACTGGTCATATAGTATAGGAGATGCTGTATTTTGGAAGATATGGTTACTTGGGCATTAAAAATGATCAGGTAAATATGCATGTATAGTGCTATGATTGCTTAACATCTGAAGGGTTGTATCTTGGAACATAACTGTCTCAGGATGAATCATTTGATCTTCACCTAATCACTGTGGGACACATTTTATTGATGTAATTCTTAATTATTTCACTGAAATTATGCTAGTCTTCATTTTTGTGTATGGAAAACATTCCCATTTAGAGGAACAAGAATAACTGGAACTTTCTGTGCAGGCACAGAGTTAGTGTCAGTGGAATTTACAGAATTTGGGTGGGATAGTTTACATGACTGGAGCACTGTGATGGATAGTTGCAAGCTGTTCATCAAATGGCAGGAAAGGAGAAAGAGTTGCACTGTAGGTAAAAGAGCAGTTTCAGTGCATGTAGCATAGCTCCATACCAGAAGACTGGTCTGTTTCATTGCAATAGAATAAATAACAGCTTAATTGCTTAATTTACAAATATCTTAGTGGCTTACCTGATTGTCTTTCTGCACAAAGTCACTGTGAGGAAGTCAGATGTGTTGTGTGGGGTTGTTGTGTTGTGTTTTTGGGATTTTTTTGTTTTTTTTTTTTTTTTGTGGTGTGGTGTTCTGTGTGGGGGATTTTTTTATTTTTTTTTTTTTGTTCTCCCCATGATTCCAAAACTGCCTCAGTATGCAGATTTAGAAAGAATGTACAGGATTAGATAGTGGTTGTAAGTAACTCTGAGAATAGCAGATTAGAAATTTAGAATTTTTTTTAAATATCTGTGGTAACTTAACTTTTTTCTCTAGGCTTGTAATCGAAGACAAAAAACAGATAGAGTCTGAATATGCAGTCCTTCAGACACAGTCTTGGAAGTAAGTGTTTTTCCTTGTGACTAAGTTGGCATATATATAATCGATTTCTTACTCAATTTTATGAAATATGTGCAATACTTCCATTGTAGTCCATGTGAATTTTTGTTTTGCATGTGCATATAGGATGAAACAAAATGTGGAAAACAAAAATGACAAAACTGAGAGAATTCAAAAGGTGAGTATTTTTTCTGCTGTGGCAGCTTAGTATATTTCTTACGTTTGTGTGGCATTTACTCTCAGATACTGTTAATTCCACTTGTTTGTCTGTGATTATGCTAGCCCCTTTATCTGCCTTTATGCTGTTCTGATACTCTGTCATTATAGGTATTATGCCAAACATTTTTACATAACATTTTTGCCCTTCTTGCCTATTAAGGTCCGCAGCATGTGGACGCTTGTAATGGAAATGCTCACATCTCTGAAAAAGGAAAAGGAAGTTGTGGATTCTGTACTTAATACACTTGAAGATGGCAGTGGTCAGTGCATTTTGGATGGAAGTAAAGTTGTTGTCAGTGTTCCACAGCTGTTGAGTCAGAGAGTTGAAAATGATGTGTACCAAGTAAGTACTTTTTGTCCTTTTTGCTAAACTGTATTTCTTTTTTTTTTTTTTTTTTTTTTGTTGTGAAAAGCAACCGGGGTGTAATCCAGTACCTTTTTAAAAAAAAAAATACTTCACACATGGTAAGAGGTCATTGCTCAAGGGTGGATAGAATGTCCAGTTATGTAAAAAGTTTAAAGTTTTTTATGACTCTGTTTTTTTGATAAAGTTTGTTATGACTGTGCTGCTGATTTGTATTAGTTGTTTCCACCATGAACATTAAGTTTAACTGCATTGATAACTCTGCCTCATTAGTACTTTTTTTTTGTTGTTGTTGTTTAGAAATTAAAACTAGGTTGTCTAGTTTAACTATTGTTTTAACTAATGGACTTTTGTTTCCAATGTGTAGTATATGGTGGTGGTTAGGCCTGCCGTATCTTTTGAGGCAGTGGTTAAACAATACCTCATTAATGAAGTTTTCTTAGTTCCTATTGCTTTATAGGGTGTTATTAAAGCAGATGATTCTAGAAAACAAACCTGAGGCTTAAATCTAGAGTATGATTTTTTTTTTTTTTTTTTTTATTTTTTGAAACATGAAACAATCGGGAACGGAATCAAAATTTCAGGTGTAACTTTGTGTCTCCTGTGACTACACAAGACATAATTTTCTGATACTGATGCTGTTGACTAATTGTTTATCTTTTTTTTTTTTTCTTGCTATACTTCAAGCGTTGTACAGGGAATGTATATGAAGATAAAAATCTCAATTTTGTAACAGTCATCCAGTTATTAAATGAAGCTCTCAGGATGTTGAGAGATGAACACTGTCAGTCTGAATTGGAAAAATACCTTTGTGTCTTTGAAAATAGGCTTATGTGTCACAAGAAGTCACTGCAGAGTTTGAAAGCGATGAGGTAATTGTCTGGAAACTCTATCTGGTTCCTTGTTCTTTAGTCTGTAGATCATGTCTTCCTACCTTGGAGTCTTTCCTAAAATAATACAGTTCGTAATGAAAAACATAGTGGTTCAATCTTTTTCCTTTGTTTCTGGGAAATTCACATTTGTCTTGATTAACTTCTGAGATTCTTCCCTAGGTTGTTTCAGCTTTTTGCCCTTGCTTCGCTAATATTTTCAGCATTGTTCCTGGTGGCCTCTTTTGCTAGCATTGTGATTTAAACCCAGCCGCTAACTAAGTACCATGCACCTGAGTTGGATGGGGAGGAGAATTGGAACAATGAAAACCTGCAGGTTGAAATAAGAACAGTTTAATAATTGAAATAAAGTAAAACATAGTGATAATAGAAATAATATAAGCAATAACAATAATAATGATAATAATAGGGAACAACAAAAATGAAATAAAATGAAAATTCAGAAAACTCAGTTCATGCACAACAATTGCTTACCACTTGCCAACTGGTACCCAGCCTGACCAGAGCAGTGATCTGCCCTTCTGGGTAACTCCCCCCCAGTTTGTATACTGGTCATGATATGCTGTGGTATGGAATATGCCTTTGGCTAGTTTGGGTCAGGTGTCCTGTCTCTGCTTCCTCCTGGCTTCTTGTGCTCCTCCTCACTGGCAGAGCATGAGAGACTGAGAAGTCCTTTATCAGGGTAAGCGCTACTGAGCAACAACTAAAACATTGGTGTGTTATCAGCATTGTTCTCAGACTGAAGCCAAAACACAGCACTGAACCAGCTACTAGGGAGAAAATTAACTATCCCAGCTGAAACCAGGACCGATAAGTGATCTGATTTTTACTTTGTTTATGTTAATCAGTTCTGCGATTTTAAAACTTTATATGAAACTGGCTTAGGGAAAGCTCAGGTGTGTATCTCTTAGTGTGTATTTATTTGAATATAATTCTTTCAATTCAAATATAAGAAACATGAAGACTACCTAGCAGCTGCTTTTTAGGTTCTGAATTTCAGTTCTTAGTACATGCACAAATACATGAATAAGTTGATGCATATCAAAGATTTTGCAGGATAAGGAGGACATGTAATTCTATCCATCTTTATGCAGAACTGTTATCTCCACCAACGGATGTCTTATGTTCATTTTCCATGCTCACATGTTACAGGCTAGAAGTAGAGCAACAGCTTCGTGTGTCAAGTGAATCTATTTCTAGAGAACAGGAAAACTGGGAAGTGAAGTGGAAAAGCTTTCTTGGCCAGTGTCCTTTTTATTTCAGCTTAAATCAGGATCAAGTAAGTAGTCTTCATTAGAATCTGATAAATTGAAGAGAAAGGGTGAAGGTGAGAGGATGTACGTCTAAGCTGGTGTGTTTATTGTAATACTTAACCTTTATATACAAGGTTACAGAATCAGATAGCACAATATAGCAGAAATTGCTTTATGAAGTAGTCTTTCTTAAAGAAGGTACATTTAACTTGATGACAGCTGGTGTCTTCATTTGAAATGGGGGATAGAACCATCTTGTTGAAGCAGAAGATCAGCGTAAGAGCAAGCTGATTTGATTTTGGTTTTGTCCATCTCTATCCCCCCTGTAGAAACTAAGCTTTCATGTGCTGTCAATCTGAACAACTGCTGAGTTCCATTTTTCCCTTTTATAGTGATGGGCTTGATGTCAGAATGGAAATCATTTTTCAGTCATTTGCACTGATACAGGCAGGGATCTGAGGTTGTACCAGTGCCTAGCTACCCAGCAGAAAGGAAAAGCTTCATGTTGAGTCTGACAACTAGCTTGCAGAAAAGCTGTTGTAAATAGTTGTCTGTAAATTGCTGTTGATGTGCAGATTTTCTCAGACTCCTTGTGTAATTTTTTTTCTTTTGAAAGGATTCTGATGCGTTAACAGCTTTTCAACACCATTCTTCCAGAGTTGCAGAAGAAGATAAAGTCTTTTGTCAGCATCTACTATCAGTTTCAGGTCAGTGAACAGAAGTGGTTGGTTTTTTTTTTTTTTTGGTGTTTCTTTGTTTTTTTTAAGTTTTGGTTTCTTTTTTTTTTTTTGTCTCCACTCTGCCACAATTTTTAAAAGTTACTTGGTGTTGAAAAAACTCCCCTGTTGGGTTTGCAAGTATCATTGATAGTCTTTGATAATCTGGTCCTGAATGACTTTTTGCCAGAGTTGCCTTAGATTTTTCAACCTTGTATCTCAAAGATCACAGAAGCACAGAATGGTTGAACTTGGAAGGTACCACCAGGGATATCTAGTCCAACCTTCCTGCTAGAGAGCACCTAGAGCACGTGGCTCGGATTTATGTCCAGATGGGCCTTGAATATCTCTAGGGACGGAGACTCCACAAGCTCTTTGGGCAACCTGTTCCAGTGCTCAGTCACCCTCACAGTAAAGAATTTCTTCCTCACGTTTGGGTGAAACTTTATATGGTTTAGTTGATGCCTGTGGCCTCTCATCCTGTCGCACAGCACCACCGAGAAGAGCCTCATCCTATTTTGACACTCTCCCTTCAGATACTTACACACATGGGTTAGATCCCCCCAGAGCCTTCTCTTCTCCAGCCTGAACAGGCCCAGCCTTTTCAGTGTTTACTTATCTAAGAGATTTTCCAGACCCTTAATCATTCTAGTTCATTCTAGTAGCCCTTCACTGGACTTCCTCCAGGCACTCCATGTCTCTCTTGTAGTAGGTAGCCCAGAACTGGACACAGTACTTCAGGTGAGGCCCCACCAGGGCTGAGCAGAGGGGGAGGACTACCTCCCTTGACCTGTTTCAGATTCTCTGAAGCTTTTGGTATGGCAAAACAACAACACTGGATCTGTTTGGTGTTTTGTTGTTCTTGCACTAAGGATATTGAGACAGATTTCCATGTGTAATGATTTGTTTATAGATTCTAGAGAAAACATCTGACAGTAATAGTTGATTCAGGTTAGAGGAGTAATAAGAAAGAGAGAAAGAAGATTAAAAGTTTTCCTGTTAGTGGCTAGGAAAGAAATTAAAGGTGGTCCTCCCAGGTAAGTGTTTCCCTGGTGTGTTCTGAAATGGTTTATTCCACAGTAACTGTGCTATTTGATCAGGACCTTACTTGATTTCTGTGTTGGTTGCTTTTGGTTGTTAGGTAAACAGTGCTTAGAGCTTGCTTTGATCAGACATGGATGTTGCCCATGCTAATTGGCTGATGACTGTATTTTACTGGGTAGTGCTCATGAACCAAGTGTTGACTGTTACTAGTATAGAGTTACAGATAACTAGGAGCTGAAAAGCAAGGGTGGGAAAGGAGGAAGATAGCTTGAATACTGTGTCATTTGCAGTCCCTTTTAGGAAAAATGACATAGTAGATACATGTTGGAATTTCAAGATGCAAAGCAGTAGGGAGATGGTGAAAGCACTGTTCCAGTAGCCTAGGGCTATGTAGGTATAAGGCTAGAAGCTGCAAAGGGAAAGGCTACAGAACTGCAAATGGAAGGTAATTTGCCTTAAATCTCAAAGATGAAAGCACTGTACAGTAACGCTGTGAGCTTCTGGGAATATTGGAAAGCTTGAGACAAGTTGGTGCCTGTAGCATTCTCTTCACTCTGTGGTTAAGTCACCCTCACAGTTGTGATCTTGTGCTTAATCTGAGAATCTAGCCACTAGGAAAACTAACTTTCTTCTGGTTAATGTGGTAAGCTTAAAAAAAAAAAAAATTAACATTGCAAACTCCAAGTAAGCTTGGATTTCTGACGTGGTGTTGAGGTGAATACAGAAAGTGCCATTTATGTTTACAGAAGCTGCAATTTAGGGTTAGTAGAGAACCTTGAGGTTAGAAGTTGGCTGCTTATCCAAATGATGTGCCAAAACAGGTATTTATTGTTTGAGAGAGTCCTGAGCCAAGGTGTACATGTACCTCTGGTAGTGTGCCTTGCTTTGCCTGGGTACTTGGGCTGATGCAGAATTGATCAGAGGGATGAGTATGTCCACGCAGATATTTATTGATAAATGCAGATGAAGATGGTGGAGAAAACATGGGTGGAATTTGCTTTTGTGGCATTGATGTGCCACACAGCTGATCCATATGTGGAGAGGAGGGGATAACATGTGGCTGCGATTGTAGTCTGGAGGAAGGTGGAATGCATGTTCAGGAACAACACAAGTAAGTACTGGCTGCTAGCGGTATCTGTGGCTGCAGGTGGTACCTGAGCAAAAGAATTGATTACTTTGTTCTGTTTAATTATCAATAATGTTCATAAAGCCTGCCCTGTGGCTAGTCTACAAAAGTGGTCTGAGTCACTTGTGTTGCCTGGGAAGCCTGAGTGGAAAAAAGTGGAAGCAATAATAAAACTCTTGACTTGCTTTTCTAGATGTTTTTGACCCTGTTACTGAAGAAAGTTGTGAGAAAGATGATGGGGCATTGGAAACTATGATGGATAAGTCAACACCACTATGGTATGATGTTAATGAGATAACTAATAAAAAAAGCAGTGGGGGGAAAAAAATAGAAATTTACTTCTTGGAGTTGAATATATTGCATCTCTTGATCCTTAGTCGAATATTGCAATAGCCCACTCCTTACACCCACCTGATTTAGCAACATAATCCAAAAGTAACTGCCACTTGCTTGCTGCAGCTGGCGACTGATTGATCAACTGGTTGCTGCCGAATAGCATGTGCAGCGGCGAAGTTGCGAGATTTCTATCTTTTTTAACTACATTCTTTCAAGCTTTAAGAGACAGGTGGAGAAAACAGATTTTGGTTTCTGAGGCTGGATTGAAATAGGCAATATGTTCAGTATAGCCTGAGAATAAAAGAAGAGACCTTCACAGAGGAGCCCTTCCTTTGTGTTTAAAAAAAAAAAAAAAAAAAAACCACAACAAAAACCAAACCACCAAAACAAAAAATCCCCAACCAACAAAACCAAACCAAACAAAAAAAAACCCACCCAAAAAAAACAAAACAAAAACAACCAAAAAAACCAAACCCCAAACAACTAAGTCTTCGAAAATCACTTTGTACTGTAGCTTCTCTTACTGCAGTTCCAGGAAAGGATAGAACACACAACAATGGTATTCTAGAAAGGTTTGGCCTGTTGGCATTTAACTTAGCCCAGGAAAGCTTCACAACCTTCTGAATAACACCGTATGTTGTTCTTGAAAGTTGCCTAGTAGGGGACAAAGGGAGTTGGCAAAGGAAGGTTGTACTGTACTGAGACATCAGTACGTGTAGCTGGATATAAATCTCAAAGGTTGTCCAAGTAGTTAAAAACCAAAGCCTGGATCCACTTCATACAGCATAGATATTTTTTTTGTTGGCTTGTGATTCTAAATACAGATAACAGCAAATACTAATGTTTAAAGGTGCTTTCTTCCTAACAAGTGGGGACTTTATCTTACATTTTAGACATCTGTGCAACTAGCACTATACTCATTGGAAGTTACAAGACCAAAGTTTTTGATATCCAGGTGATTGTTAAATATCAGTAAGTGTATGTAAGAACATACCTGTGGGTGCCACAGGGGATTCAGAGGAAGAGTATCTAGGGAAAACAGGGAAAAGAACATTAAGTCTGCAGAAGAGTTTGCAGTTACATTTTTCAGTTATATTACAGAACGTAGAGGACTTGGTTATGAAATGTATTACAAAACCTGTTTCTGTTTTTTAATCAAGGGAAAAGTTTCATAACTTAATAATTCTGGGAGGCTGATACACAGCTAGGGCTATATCTGCTCTAATTGTCACATGGTCTCCCTATAGTAAAATTGCCTTCTGATGACCGGGACGAATTGAGGGAAATCGTAACGGACAGATACGGGGCACATAAAATGTAATGGCCTTCTACTAAGACTTGCATGCCACTTGCTTTATTTGTTTCTAAAATACATTTATAACTTTTTTTTTTTAACCCCTCCCCTCCCACCCCCAAGGATGACTTCAGTGCCTTTGGAGATGTCAAAACCACCAGAAAACAGAGACTTGTTAACTGAAAAGGTAATTCTTCAGTAACTTCCTGCCTGTCAGAGAAGTTAAACGTAAGATAATTGTTTTTTGCATTGACTGAAACCTAGAGTTATATTTGAGGGAGAGGGCTGTAATTTTTTTCTTTTTGGGTTGGGTTTTTTTCTTGTTTTTTGTGAAGTAGTGGTTTTACACATCTTGAGTCAGTAAAAGCTGTTGGGGACTTCACTGAGTGTTAGGAGAGGACAGTAGGAAGTTGACTTCAAATACAGCAGTTGGTGTGTCACTGATTCTCTGCTTGTTTTGCTTGTATTTTTGGTGTGAGCAGAGGTCAGAATTTGATGTTTAAGTTGTGTGTGAACTTAAGGGTTATAAGGTGCCTAAAAGCAACTTGGTTGTATAGTGTCCGTTGCACAATTGTTCACTGTAGTATGTTCAAGGTAGTTGCAGGCGAGTCATCTGTGTTCTATGCAGCGTTCTATCCTAGCCACTATTTTGCATCCTACTTTAAGTATGATTCTAAAAATATTTGTTTAGTTAGAATTTAAGACTGAAATACTTTATTGACTAAACACTGAGGCCATTGCTGTTAAGAGTTTGCACAGTAGTTTCTTTTTCATTCTAGTATTCTGACACTTGAGTTTAAAATTTGATAGTTCCTGTGTATTTCTGTAGGACTTGTATATTGAAACTTACAAGGTAGAAGAAAAGCCTGTGTCTCAAGACATACTAAGAAATGGAAAGGATGAGTCTGACATTTCAGAAATGGGGGAGAATGCAGGTTATCCTGTCAAAAAAGAAGATCTCCTTGAGAAAGCCAGAGATGAACTGGCAGAAGAGGTTAGGAAAAGTCATTTGGAGGGGGGTGTGGTGGGGGAGGTGTGTTTGCATGTGTGTGTTTTTTTTTTTTTGTTTTGTGGGGGTTTTTTGTTTGTTTTGGTTTGGTTTTTTTTTTGTTTGTTTTTCTCTGTTATTAAATAAAAGGTCATTAGGAAAACCAGTTACTAGTTATAACATGCGTCTTGTAATCTGCATATGTCAAAAGTTACTTTTTTCTGCTAGATACTAATCAGCATCACTAACTTTTAGGGGTGACTACCCAACTAAGTACACCCTGAAAGCATGGAACTTGTGCAGTTATCATACTTTTAAGTCATTGTGACATGAACAGAACTTTCAGTGGAATCAGGGTATGATTTAAGTAACTTCTTATACTTTAACCTAATGGTGTGGGTACTTAGAATTGACTTCTGATTTCAGTCCTCTATCTTAATTTTGTTTGTACACTATGTTCACTGTGAGTCTAAGTAGTAGAGGACAGAAGAAGAGTCAGGAGATTCCAGACTCTTCTAATCATTTAGACAATGGATTTATTTTGAGCTGTAACTGACAGAAATAAAGAGGTGATAATTTTGCTTTCTCAGGACTTCCCTTTTCTAACACCCTACAGGTTGCAGAAGCAGTGGTATCTGAGTTGACTCCGAGTGGTGAAAGAAAAGGAATGGCATTAGAAGATCTCATTAGCTTGTTGTGTTTTGACCCATTTGTAGCAAGAAAACAAATTCCCCGAACTCCAGAAAATCTGTGTAAGTTCAAAACTGACTTTATAATACCCACTGTTGAGAAGTGTGATTAGTTCATTGACTTTGTACATGTCACAGAAGATAACTATTTCAGTGAAGCTGCAAAATATACTAGTGGCTTACCCTGTAACACAACATAGTAGGCCTAATGAAATGATGGCATTAAGGTACACTGTGCTCTGGTGTCTGCTAGAGCTTTATACACCTGTGGGTCATCTGATCCACACAGTCCAGTAAATCCGATTGTCCCTCTCCTCCGCCTAGCCCCCCTAAAAGTTGGGGTACAAAGGGGTTAGCATTTCTGTTCATAGGAGTTGGAGTAAAATCAGCTCTTCCACTCCATCTGGGAAACTGCTCACCAGAGACGGGAGCAGCAGCTTTCTTGGGAGGATCATCATTGACCATTGTTTTTCTTTTCAATTCATGTACCCATTCCTCCAGAACTGTGTAGGTTTTCCATCCCACTTTCTCACGTCTTCTCCATGATCCCGCGGGTAAAACCATAGCGTGCCCTGTGGTATGTACCTCCTATATCTTCCCTCTTGAGCAGTAGCGCGCTTATTGTTAATAGCTGATATGTAGGTCTGTACATGCGGGGAGCTAGCTAGATCATCTCTCAATTGCTTTAACTTCTGGGGCAGTAGCTTTTCCACAGCTGTGTCATGGCTTAAGCCCAGCTGGCAACTCAGAACCATGCAGCTGCTCACTCAGTCCCTCCCATCTTTTCCCCCTGCTCCCAGCAGGAAGGGGAGGAGAATTGAAAGAATGTAAATGCCACAGGTTAAGATAAGAACAGTCCAGTAAATAAGGTATAATACAAAACCACTACTATCACCATTACTAATAAGGGAAATAACAAGAGGAGAGAATATAAAACTAAAATGGGAAGGGGGGAAAAAACAACCATCACAATCGCTTACCACCTGACAATCCATTACTTAGCCTGACCTGAGCAGTCATCTGCCCTTCTGGGTAATTCCCCTCAGTTCATATACTGGGCATGATGTGCTGTTGTACAGAATACGTCTTTGGCCAATTTGGGTCAGGTGTCCTGTCTCTGCTTCCTCCTGACTACTTCTGCCCCACCTTGATCAGGGTAAGCGCTACTGAGCAACAACTAAAACATTGGTGTGTTACCAGCATTGTTCTCAGGCTGAAGCTGAAACACAGCACTGCAACAGCTATTAAGAAGGAGAAAAATAACTCTTACAGCTGTACCCAGGACAGTATCCACCCCTTCCTCCATCCATGGGACCTGATGAAATCCATCCGCGGGTCCTGAAGGAGCTGGTGAATGAAGTTGCTAAGCCACTGTCCATCATATTTGAAAAATTACGGCAGTCAGGTGAAGTTCCTGATGACTGAAAGAAGAGAAATGTAAACCCATTTTCAAGAAGGGGAAGCCATTTGCAAGAAGGGGAAGGTGGAAGACCTGGGGAACTATAGCCCAGTCAGTCTCACCTCTGTGCCTGGCAAGATCTTGGAGCAGATTCTCCTGGAAAGCACACTGAGGCACATGGAAAACAATGAGGTTGTTGGTGTGAGCTGACATGGAAATCCTGCCTGACCAATTTGGTGACCTTCTATGATGAGGCTACGGAACTGATGGACAGGGGCAGAGTAGTTGACATCGTCTACCTGGACTTCTGCAAAGTGTTTGATGCTGTCCTGCATGACA